ATTATTTACTTGACGTTGTTCGTTTTTTCGTAGCGTACACTTAAAGTAGTGCCTTTGAATCGCTAATAATAGGCAATAAAACATACAATACGATATACACGTATTGTGTTGGCGAGAACAAAGGACGTTCAAAGATATTTTTGATTTCCTTAGGTATAATGTTACCGGCATCAAATTTGCTTTCCCAGTAAGTCGAGATGAATAATTGGGTAAATGCATAAAGGACAAACAGACATACATTCATTTTTTTATACATAGATAAAACAATTAGTACAGAATACTATATGATTATATTGACTTTACATTTAGTTGTCATAATAAAAATATAAGGTATTACTTTGGTACCTGGTTTTACCATCTAGAATATTCTTACGAAATCCGTGATTTGAGTTATTACTTTTAAAGTTATTAGATTTAATATGTTCTAGTATCAGTCAAATATAATTTAAGAAGTACTTTTTACCTAATTTTCAAGTATTATTGAAAACAATTATTCATTATTTAATTATGTTAAAAAAATTCAACTGTCAAACAAATACATTCCATAACACGTTAGTCAGGCAGCAAATGAGTATTATATACGTGTATGCATGTAAAAAATGTATGCTTATAAATGAGTAAAGCCGTTTTTCCAAGTTTCATTGAACCGTTTGATATCAATGGCTCCCTAAGTGGCTTTTCCTACTTGACAACCGATTTGTTTAATTGGCTATTGGGGTGTACCCACTACCGCTTTTAGGCATTTCACGTACGATTTCTTTCCACTTCTCTCCCTCTAACCCTTGTTTGTCATTTTGACAAGCCGCAAAAAAAACCTTAACCCTCGTGTTGTGTAACAACTTTGTGATATACTAAGCCAATTTGAATTCGGCAGAGGGCTAATGCGTTCTCTGAAGTTTATTGTTTCCCCTCGTGTAATGTGATGTCATTAATATATTTGTTAAAGAAATTGGTTTTTTTAACATGGTAAAAACAAATTTTGAATAACTGCGGGTCAATCTGGACAATTAAAACTTAACAAACAGTTTAGAATTATGATTGTATTGAAACTTTTATGGATTGAAATACTGATTTTATAATGTTCGATTGTATCCATGTATTTATTTATAGGCTTACAGTTCGGACATAGGCACAATGCAAGGGGAGCTTGAGTAAGATTATCACTTCTTCCTGATTTTTAAAACTAGCACTTTCAAAATTATTTACGCTTTTTGTATAAAGTTACATATGGTCTTTTTAATAGTTTCGTTGTTTAAGTCCCTTAGTTTTTTTAAGCAAAATTGTGCCCCTGGCAATACTTACCGTTTTATGGCGATAGATACACTCGAAAATTGTTAAATTATAGTTTAGCAATAGTTATATTTATTGGTTTATATTGCTAAATTCTAAAAACATAATATTAAAATTCACATTATGAGTCAGATATCAAGAACGTACACAGGGGAACAGAAATAATTTCACGCCGACTTGAGTTCCTTCATTTACATATCATTTCATTATCATATTATATCAAACCGTTCATTGTTCCAACACGCTGTGTGTCGATTATATAATTTAGGTCGGTCAGATCTATATTATCATCTCGTTTATCAAATAATTAATTTTTTGTAATCGATAATGACTAACGAAAACATGAGCAGTTATGTGTGCGTGCCTGTAATTTACCAATGTAGTTATTAATATATCATGTATTTTGTGTGTAAACTGTATAGTGTGCTACTAGAGCAGACCACACCCTCGGAAAACAAACCGTGTGTGATGAGAAAAATAGCCAAGGAGAGCCCACAAAACCCTATGGCGTAGCCCTCCACTTAATACCTAGGCCGCACGCTAACTATCAATTTGTCCGTTGCCCATGTTTATACAACTAATATAGTGAATTATATCGTATAGGCTTGGGGTTATGTCCAGACATAAGCGATTAATATATTTAAACGTTGATAGGGAAACAACAGCGTTATATTTTTAAAAAAAAGCATCGAAACCGAGGGGGTTAAAAAATGCCTTTAAATTATAGTGTACCGTTCATAAAAGCAATTATTTTTTAATAAAAAAATTGTTATTTCACTTATATATATTGCGAAAAAACTACAATTTATAATGCGTTTTAACAAAAATTAAGCCATCTAATAAAAGTAACAATAGGAAAAATATGTTCTAACATACGTTATAGCGAATCCTTCTTATATGTATAAATTACACCGTAAACCACAATTATTTTTCACAACTTTTTCACTGAATCCGAATTTGGTCTTATTCTAAAATGTCCTAGCTAGTCTAGTTATTTTTTAGATCACCCCAAAGTTATAAAAAACATGTTTTCCTCAAAACAACGAAAATATATTTATATTTTATAAATGCTGTAACTATATTTATTAACACTGTTAGCCTATTTCGGAACAAAAACTCATGAAATGGTAAAATTACTGGTACAGGTTATAATTTATATCATTAATATCCTAATAAAGCTTTGGGGTGTACTATATTTTATAAGATATCCAATAAAAGCAATCCAATAGTTAAAATATCAATCAATGAGGAATAAAAATGTGGCTAAACTACTTTAAATTCTTGTCAAATATCATTTGGCGTTTGTATATTTTCGAAAAAACTGTTGTCATCGATAGTTCTTTACATTTCTTATTCATGCAATCGTTTATTCTTTAATATTAATAGATATTTTTTTATTTCCTTAACCTTAATAATATTATAGACTTTAGTGTCTTTTTTTATTAACAACTAATTATTTCAGAACTCATCCGTTTTGGGCGTCGATCATATTAATATTGTGTGATTTTTCATTCGTCCTTTCCTACAAGATACATACATAAGTGTTGATCTCTTGGGAACCCAAAATCATAACATATAATCATAAAATGTAGCTTCTTTTTCGTGCCATGAGTAATAATTATTTATGTTCATTTATTTACTAAATCCGGAAAAATTAGTTATTTACTTACTAAAACCGCTTTATTTCTATAATTTTATTTTTGAATTAATGCGAGATACCATCATTAAAGTTTACTAATGGATGTTCTTAAGCCGAACTACTTCAACAAGGCTTTATGTAACAATTCATGTGACTAGTAGATACATGACAAAAATAACAATGAACTATTTTTTTAGTCTCTTTAATATGTCTTAGGTAACTATACAAGTAAATTGTACATTACTATCAACATACTATTATTATGAGATATTTATTAAAACGTGAGGAGTTTATTTTCATTGTTATTGTTATTTCAAAACAAAAATTAGGCCTGTTACAAAGCTCTGATGGGACGATTTGCCGTTTTGAACGGTCGTAACTTGCAAATGTAAGTATCATTCTAATTGCCATACAATATTGTACTAGTTGGGTAAATATGAATTGTCATTGCAATGGAAATTGCTTTATTCAAATAAAAACATTTTTTATCTGTAAGCGACGTGAACGGATGATTTTGTATACTGTCAACCTAGTTTAATGCAGCAAAAAAATGACTATTGTTCATACACGATGGATGTACAATTGAGTACATATTTTAATTACTTTGAGTTCACTACCGACGGCTTATGTTAGTTAACCGTTGATAACGATGGTCACACGGTATACCCACTGTCACACGATTTTTCTACGGAAAATTCATTAAAATAAAACCATTTTGCGTTTGAAGGTATGACTTGATGGGCTTTTTAAAGTCGTCAACTGCAGTTCAGTCACAATAAACGTTGTTTGAAACTAGTATCTCCTTTGGCCGAGTTATTCATTTAAATATTGCTTCTGAATCGCCCCAAACATGCCATTTTTATATATCCATTTGGCAGACTTTGTTCCTACCATTTATTCAAGGCGTATAATACGTATGTATGTTTATTTTTGTTCGACCTTACGAATCATCAGCTACACGGATCGTGAAATATTTGAAGTATGTCAATGTTTCGTTCGTGTGACATGGATTTTGTGTTTTGTTTTTATATCGTTTAAACCGTGAGCACTGTCGATACGGACAATAGCCATAACTAAAAATGGTGCTGTTGTACGAACAAAATGCAAGTACATATTGGCTAACATAAAGTATTTATGACCGGCAAGAGATAAGCGGTGGTAAAAACGCTTATTGTGATCGTAAATAATAATAATTTTTCGATGAACTCTGTGAACGAAAACGCTTTGGAAAGTGTTCGGCGTTAAGGTATTGCCGTAAACCCTTAGAACGGTTACCCCGATGTCAGTATCGGTCAGGGTGTTAGTGGTGGTCATCGGAGAGTGGCAAGTATAATATGCAGACATAAAATATATGTTTCGGGTGCTAGTATTTCATATTACTCGGCCATCCAAACGAGTTGTCTATATATATATATATATATATAAAATAATAATAATAATATTAATTTCCATGTATCAGAGAGTGGATAGTAGTCGTGTCCAAATTCCCACCAGGATTTACTAATTTAACACCTAGGTAAATAAAGTTATTACTTTCAGTTGGTTTTAAGCCATGGTTTCCAAGTTATTGTGCTGCTCCCGGTGGTCTAAAATATAATAATGACTGGTCAATAACATGTTTTGAATATCAGTAATTTTACAAATGTATTGTGGTATGTACAGTTTAAAAGTACGGGTGAGTGGAGAGGTTCTCGGCTACTCATCCTCCACAAATAAGTGTTTATCTATATACTTGTTTTTATCAAGGGTATGCTTAAGACATAATTATAACCCATGTCAAAAATGATCAATCCATAAACATATTACCTAGACGAGCGACAAAGGTTTTGAGCTTAAATATTCCAAGTGCAAATATAGGTTGCCTGATACGCGTGACCGGTACATGAAGTAATTAAGTTGAAATCTGCCAAGATTTCAGTTCACCTCGGTGGTAAATAAGTAACTTCTCCGGACACTCTACCGTGGCTCCGCCGGGAACAATAATAATAATTACTCTAATTTCTGCGTAACACGAGTGTATTATTATTATTATTTTAACTGTGTGTATCATCCTTGTATGTATCTATTACAGGTCCGGCGTTTTGGGGGTTAATAAATCCGGAGTGGAGCCTGTGCAACAAAGGTCGACGGCAATCTCCCGTCAACTTGGACCCGGATAAGTTGCTGTACGATCCAAACTTGACTGAATTACACGTGGATAGACAGCGGGTGAGTGCAAATAGACAAAAATAACTCTTCCGTGGGACATCGAAGAACATTACGGTCATTTTAAGTCAATTACAGCGGCACGCAGTAAACACATTTCAATATTATTCAAAAAAACATACAAAAAAAAAACCATAAGCCCGTTAGGAAATATGGTACAATAACAAAAGATAAACTGCTACTAATTGGTCAAATAATGGAAACATCACGCGTATTAACTTATTATTTTAGCGCCTCAATTAAAAACTGAAACAAAACAAATCATCTTTTAAGTGTTTTTATATCATTATTAACATGAATTCACAATTAAATACTACTTGGAACATCGGAAACTAACATGCACTGATAAATATTTTTTCGTTTTCGAACGAGGTCTTTGATATAATATTCCAATACATGTGTTCTTCAACAAATTTATTTATTTGTAGCTCTTTCTCTTTTTCTAGTCTCGTGATAACTTCCTACGGATAAAAAACAAAAAACAGTATTTTATTTAACTATTATTGTATATTATGTACAATAAATGGGTAATAAAAACTAATTATTTTTAAAAAGATTCTTATACCTACATAAAGAAATACATTTTAAATAGAAATAGGATCCAGTTAAAATACATAAAAAATAACGAAATGAATAAATGTTAAAGTTCTGTTAAAACCATATGAACTTAATACCAATATGTTGTGTATTAATAATTTGTTTTATTACCATTGTTTTATGGATTGCATAATGTTGAATTTAATCCAACAGGTGGACGGAATCATATGCAACACTGGTCACAGCGTCATGTTCTATTTAAATCACAACACTAAAAATCATATCAACATCACTGGAGGACCATTGTCGTACAAGTACCAAGTCTATGAGATACACATACACTACGGTCAACAGGACGAGATGGGATCAGAACACTTAATTAATGGCTATTCGTTCCCGGCAGAAGTAATTACTATTATTAGAGTCTCAGTAACCGATTGCCGTTTAAGTAAACAATTATGTTCTTTGAATAATATTCTTAAAAAATCCCAGATTCAACTTGCTATAGAAATCAATTTGAAAAATTATCACTAAAACTTGGCAATACAAGTACATATTTTGGACATTAAACTAAATGTAAAATTATTTATTTTTATGTATTCTCGACTTTTAGAATTTAAAGTATATAAATTGCTTAGAATTTCTAAGTAAAGTGTAAACATTAAAAAAATAAGAAACAGTAGATGATAAAATGTCAAAAGCAAAACTAGAATGAAAAGGGGTAGGAAAGTAGAAACAAAATAGAGAAGAAAGAAAAATACAAGATATTTTGTTAATGCTTTAGATTCGCCATAGAAAGATTTTTGCATTTTAAATAATTTTCAAATTTATAATTATTGTTACTTCAACCTAATATCCAAACCCCTTCAGTATCCAGCAGACCATACATATTCAGGCTTTTACATTTTCATTTTATTATACTTAATAAATATAAATTATGCTGGTTTCATTCACTACTAAAACGCAAATAAAAAAAATCATCCAATCATGTAGACTTTTTTTATAATAAAATTAAATCTGGTAAATTATTTCTGAAATTCCTTATTTTCTTAGCTACTGTGACTAGTTTTCCGGATACCATGTACTCATGTTTATAAAATACATTGCTTACGTTTAATATTAAGTATCCAGATATATTATATAAACTAAAAATTGTTATTTTTTGTTCATTTCAGATTCAAATATTCAGTTATAACTCTCAACTCTTTGCCAACCATTCGGATGCAGTACAGAGATCGCATGGCATCGTCGTTTTATCATTACTCGTTCAAGTACGTACATCAGTGAAATCTGAATTAAATAAAAACATAGAAAAAATGATAAAATTCCAGGTACATATTTTTATTGAATGAACTAGTAAATAGCACAATGACAATCGAGAAAGCTAACTTTCCTCTAATTACTTCATTTTTTGGCTTTTCAACTGACATTCTACGCATTATAAGTCTGATTCAAACCTGGCAACTAATACATTTATAGATGCTTTTCATACATCTACCTTGCCTTTTGTTCACAAAGTCCAGTTTAATAAATCAACTTTTTTCCGTTGGGCTACTTATAACCTTAATGACTTAGTTCGCCAAAAAAAACAGAGTTCACGCTTCACTTGAATTCACATCTCATCCTCTGGACTGGTGCTCAATTGTCTTCCTTCGTACTATGTACAAATTTGAATCCAAGAAATGCTACAAAACTTTTGTTAACCACACAGAGCACTCTTTTTCTATGGAGCCAAATAATACCTGATTCGTAATCCTCGCTCAATCCTAGCTCAAACTATTAACTCTACGTCTGCGTCTCATTGTTTAGTCCAGATGGTAACCGTTCTTTCTCCTGTGTCACCTAAGGTATGTTATATCTTGGATTCTCTTTCGCCGATCTTTAGACAAATACATTTGTTCAGACATATGTAACATTGGCTTAGTAACTCCTATTTTTAATTTTTAGAGGTGGTAAACTATAGGCCAATATCAGTCCTAAAGCTTTCCTGCAAAAATTGTTAAGTCCTTCATTTAATATATTATCCAGCTTTCTGTAACTCGATTCTTATTGATGAACATTAGGGCTTTCATCCACCGCGCTCGACAACCAATTGTAATGTAATGACATTGTCTAGAAAAAATTTAAGCAACACTTGTAATTAAAATTATATAGTGAAAAAATAAAATTATGAAATATTTCAAAAAAACAACAATTATAAAAACTGCGTATACGCGTAATAAATGAACAGAAAATTTTTGTATTTCTCGGTTTTTTATGTTCCTTATGTGTTCTTGAAACCTAACTCCAATATTTATTTTTGTCTATGATACATAACGTTTATCATATTATTCATATTGTATTTTATAAATCCCCGATTGTAATCTTTGATGCCACTTAATAAAGATTTTAAATTATTACTTTATGATGTAACTAGAGTTGTTCCGTAATTTTTTAATATTTTTGAATTCCCATGAGATACCAGGAAAACAATCCATATCCGATTTTATAATATTTCCATCGTCCCTCCTACTAAGCATGTGGTTATCCTAACTTCCATGGACCATTTATACTTATTAACTAATCTAAACATGATATCTGCATTATATCTATTAAATTTAGATATTTCAATAATTATTATTAAATTATGTTTTTTTAACAAAATAATTTTTGAACTTAGGAATATTGACTAATCTGAAAACCATACTATTAAATGCTGTCATTTTATATTGCCAGCATTGATTTGAACCATTAGAAATGTACCTAAACATGTTCCGAATGGTGTCTTTTTATAAAGTTCGCTATCCCGTTCTCCTCTCATACTGCATAAAAGGGGATTGTCTTCTATCTGTCAACAGTAGTGTACAGGATTTGGGTTTCACCTTTGTCTCTTTGCTCACATAAATTAATAAACCAGAGCCCTCAAAATATTAGGCTTTATTAATATTATTTTTAGCGAGTTTAATATATATGAATCCCTCCTAAAGAGTCTAAGATTTGATTGCACGATTAAGTTTTAATCTTAGGATGTCGTGGTACTCGGGTTTCTATATTTATATTATAATGGAATAGTGCTGAAATAACCGTCGTCGTTTATCATTTCGTTTTATTGTGTAAACGTGTATGTGTATAGGGCTGAAAAACTATACCGTGTAGTCAGTTTTTGGGGGGCGGAAAACTAGCATAGGTGCTGAATGTGGTTCGGTGTTTAATAATAATACAATAATACACGGATGTTGGCTGAGCGAGTGCGTGTGGTTGGAAATGACATTGGTACGGCCCATCGTCTATACAAAACCTATTACGATAACCATTTGATTTACGTTCAGCGAGCTTTTCATAGCAAACATCATCAGAATCACCTTTTTATTATTATTCGTCGGCTGTGTAAAGTTAAACACTTATACAAAACACAAATTTGCATTTACCTTCTTTTTGTAAATTAATTAAATTTCCTCGGCGAACGTCAAACCCTTAAATGGGTATTAACGGCCACTGTGCCGGCTACGAAATTTAAGCAATTAACGCTGAAATCAGGCACACTATACAGCAGCTAAAATTTCTATTTGTGTTTTCCAATTTAATAAATAAAAATAACACAATAGCTTGAGTAAGATGGGCGGCGTTTCGCCCTTGCACATGTTGCAAATGTATTTTTCTATGTATTAAGTATTCATTACGGACTGCATATAACAGCGGTCGTGGAAGAATGACAATAGTGTAATTCGTATTCAAAATTGACCTAGACTCGTTTCTGAGCGAGAATTTCATGTAGGAAAAATAATACTACGTACCACGGTAAACATTCAACTGAGAAGAAAAGGATGAGATGCAAAAAAGAGGTTGGCAATACAAAAACTGCCAAAAGACTACAACATAATAACATACAACATTAAAACTAATCTAGCGAAAAATGGTAGGATAAATATTATGAAGAATAATAACATTTTATTTTGCAAATAATAAATTTTGTTAGGATTTCATTTTTTTAAAACAAATTAGTGATTCTGTTAGTGATGTTTGTTTAACTTAAACAATAATCCTTCTTTTGCTTTAAAATATATTTTTTTCCGTTTGTCTAAATATTTACAATTTTTATATTCTAACCATTTGTTGGTAAATAACATGGAATACCTCTATTGCCCCTGTTTTTTTTATGTAAAACGTGAAACATAATATTATTGTTTTAGTGCTATATTTTATGATAAGATGACATCAAACAGGGGTTGAAGTGTTTAACAGTTATAAAACAAAATAACACATTTTATTTCTCTACTACAAGAAAAACGTCATATCGTGGGTTTTCTTTTCTCTCTCCCCGTCGCCTTAACTTTCTTTACTTTTACATTTCAGTGTCGCTATGATGCTAATTTCAGTTAGAACCTCAGTCAAAAAACTTAAAATTACAGCGCCCTACATTTGTTTTAAAAATAGTCAAATTAGTAATAGCAAGTCGAATAAGGGTGTAAGTCGATTTCAGTGATTTTACAGGGGAGCGATTTTAAACTTTGACCAGCTGCCATAAATCCCTACTTAGCCAACAACTCACATCTCTCTCAAGGTTTTTTTGTTAGTCCAACGAGTTAGACATTTATTCAAAGTGTGCTAGACGCCTCGGACTACATGCTAGTGTACTTAGTCAATTTTTACCAAAATTCGACTTACACACTTTTTCAAAGTTGTTACAGATATATTATAATACTCGTATATCGTCGGCTTCTTGCCAAAATTCTTTAACGGCAAAAATTACGGAAAACAGAATTTTCAATTTTTGAGGTATTCGCAATTTTTTTCGTATGAAACCTGATATAGCACTGTATTCAAATATATGGGGGTATTCCAATAATATGTAACTTAACACAGTTTTTTATACTATTACATTTTTTATATTAGCCGTTAATGAGTCTTAATAATGTGTTATTTTAATTTAGCATAAACTCATTAACCCATTAATGAGTTTTCACTATGTCGATTTTTTAAATTAGCCGTTGTTAAAATATGAAATTATTAGTAAAAAGATATTTAGAGTGGGAAGTTCACTATAATCACCTGTTGTCAATCGAAAGAAAATTATGTTTTACCCTAGATACCCTAGAACAACTTTCATCTAACTAATCATACTATCAGATAATATGGAAACAATGAAATCGGTTACTTAGATAATAGATTAATTGATTAATTCTAAACTTCTATTATTATCGAAAAAATGTTATTACAATGACTACGGTGAACTTAAAATATAAAAATGCCACATTGTCATATTAACTATTCTTTTTTATACATTCTGTAGTGATATCCAAGATAAAAATATACAAAGATATTGATATATACATATATTTTAAAAAAACCTTCCTAATTACTGCTTTACCAAATGCCTAGAATACAGGTACAATAAAAATAACTAAATAACGGGCTTAAAAGTAAAGGTCAACGGGAAAGATTTATGTTACTATATTTCTTAGATCGTGTGAACGTCTATAATATGTGCGCATTTTGTAAGTTTAATAATAAGTGCTGTGTGTGTCTCGAAGACGTTTTTCATGGACAATTTAAAATGAAAACAGTTGAACACTTTCTTCGAGCTGCCCATAAAACTTTTTGGAGTTTCCGTTATTTTTGCGCATCACACTTCGGCTAAGTAAACAACACCTGATGGTACGCCGTCTGCTGTTGTAGCAAATTGTTTTCAATCCGTGTTGGCTACTGCTGTTCTTTTCTCTTGTATACTATTTATTAAACGCTGGTTATGCTGTTCAATTTTTTAATCTTTCATTTTTAAAATTAATGTTCGATAATAATAGTTAGTTTTCCTAGTTTGGCCCACATCAAACAATTTATGCGAGGAAAAACGTACTATGTAGGCTGGTCTCTCTTTAACTTTTATATAGTTAATTCGAGAGACTATTTTTTTAATTCATCATTAGAACTTTTAATATTGTCTTTTAAATTTTAAATTTTAGATTCCTTAATGGCCAAGAGTAGGTATAAGCCACTATTTTCAGCACATTATTCCCTCTACAAGTTATTATTAGGTATATACTTTAAGTGTGCCTTAAAAATAATGTTGGAAAATAATATAACAATTAGGTATTTGAAGTTATCGGATTTCGATTTTAAATAATATAATGAACTTGGATTTTCTTCCAGGATAATTTTATGTAGACTTCAAAAAAAGGCCTGTGTTCAATGTTCCTCGACCTTGCCTAAGTCGGATTTTTATAACTGTTGTGAAAACAATTTTAATTTTGCTTAATACAAATTTAAATAGTGGCTTTATTTTAATGGTATGTTTTAACAAAAACATTTAAATAAAATAATAATTTAAATATTCATAATATTGTTATGTGTAGCATGAAAGTGGCATACAATTCAATATCCTTATTCTACTTTTGATACCATAGTAAATTTTTCAAGAAAAATATGTAAAGAATAACGTTACATAAAAACTAATTCTATTGTCTATAAGGAAAATATATGCTTAGTGTCAAAAGAAAAATCAAGATGATATAATTGTTATCTGTGACCATTTGTTGAAAAACTTAAGCCCTCGAGCCTGAATAATCACATGCCATATTATTTATTTTGTTGGTCGTCCACACTATGCAATGCGCTGTGACGTTCAAGTTTGAAAACACAAATACCTTCCTACTCTATTTATACACGGATTGTTTATGGAAGTCTTAGGTGAATAATTTATGACACCGCAAAATATTTTAAATGTATAATGTCCACAATCACACAATTTATGGATCCGCTTTTCATACTGCAATGGCTTGTTTGTTTTCTTGAGTTTTTTTTATAAAAAAATAATCGCAAATTATTAAACAACTTTCGGGCGATAATAATCAAAATCAATCTAATCAAAAAAAATATATTTTTTTCAAATCCTTTTTAGTACAACCATAATATACTAATTGAAAGTTTTCTATGTAATTTTAAAAATTAATACTATTTGACATTATTTCAGCTTGGAGATTTATCAAATCCAGAGTTACGTATTCTCACAGACCAGTTAAATATGATCAAATTTAGCGGTAAGTAAAAAACAAAAAAATCAGCATTCTGCTAGAAAATTTGTATTTTTTAACATACTGTTTTTAGGTGACGAAGTTCCGGTAAGACGCTTATCACTCGCGGATCTGTTGCCCGATACCAAATATTACATGACCTACGACGGTTCTACCACGGTTCCGGCATGCCACGAAACTGTCACTTGGTTGATTTTAAATAAGCCGATTTACATAACTAAACAACAGGTAATTAATTATTTTTAGAAAAAACCAGAGTCTTATTGAATCTTTAATAAATTCCGGCGTTTACTTTTGTCCTAAAAGTTATTACTATTTGAAATAACCTATAAGAAAATTATGATTTATAATTTAATTTAATTCTAAATATTCTTGAGTTTATGGGCTACATTTTATTTTTAAGAATAAACCAAAAAATTGAATTATTTACTTTTTATTTTCGAAAATTACAAATAAAAATCACAATAACTAAATTAAAAAAAATTAAATCTATGACCTAATTATTATAAAACTTCCATACTTTTGATTCTTCTAAAATATATTTTAATTAATAAATCTCGGCTATAAACAGTAAGTACTTTTTTGATATGAAAAGTTTTAAAACCTAAATTTTCGAAACAAACCACTAAACATTTTTAAGTTAAAAATAGATAACTTAAAATATATATTATTTTATACTATTAAAAATATGATTTTATAATATCGATTATGTACTACTTACTTAACTAATTACAAACTATTAACCGAGATTTAGTATGTTACCTAGGTAAGCTAGTTGAAGGGAGTGAAGGAAACAATGTAAATTATTCCCTTACAATTTGAAAGGCTCCATACCGGTTTAGAACTTCAAATACATTTTTGATATTATATCATAATGATACACTAAACGTTTTTAAAAATATTAAGTACTTTACTTAAAACCTTTTTAAAGTCATTCTTTATGTTCTGGATTTTTTTTGGAATAAAGCAATACAATTTGTAGTTAGTGTGAAAAGAAAGTTTAGTCAACTGTGTACAACTTTCCAGGAGATCAAAACTAAAATCTGATAAATAAGGTCAGACGAACATTTTAATATTTTTTAAAAACATTTTATCAAAACAAATTTTATTTTAAGCAAAAATACATTTTGTATAGCCTAGTATAATTTAAATTTGTATAAATACAATATATATAAGAATGCTTTAGTTAAATGAAAATTTATTTTACTTATTTTGCATTCTGATTAGAATCATAAGACATCAATTTAACTAAAGTGGATTGCAAGCAGTCTATTTTTTAGACGTTTTGGACCAAAAAACCAGACAAAATTTCGACTACTTAAGTTGGTCCGATTTCAATTTTGTAAAGATATACGAGGTCTTTGACAACTTTACTAGGTTATCTAGGTAACAGATTTTTGATTTTTTTTATATAAAATAATTGGGTTTTAACATTTGCAAATTGAATTTATTTAATTACAAGGAAATACAATTTTTCAATGAAATTCGGCTTTCTACATAACACTACTTAATATTGTATTAATATCCATTATTTTTTACAACGTTTGTCAATTTTTTCAGTAACTCATTTTACACAGTTTTATCCTTAACGTCTTTTCCACTCGCACTCACAAATTAATAGTTTTACATTTTTGGCGTTGGCGAACTTTTATAACTGACTGATATCTATCAAAATCCAGTAAAAATAAAAAAAATATGGTGACTGAATGTAATTTGTAATCCCTTCAAGTCTGAATTAAAATGACTGAATGGTTGTTATTCATAATACAAATATTTAGACATCAACTATTGTATATAATTTAAACGATTTTTTATAATTAGAATTGTAGTTGACACATGATAGTATCGAAAAAGTAATTATATTTTTTAAATTTTATTAAAAAAATCATACACTTTTGGTTTACCCTAAACTTACACTTGAGTGTTGACCATATCGCATTGGGCCGATTACGATAATATTTTTAGTTATTTTATAACTAAAAAATACATTTTTTATAATCTGTTGACAACATAAATTTCATGGACGCCGTTTAAAAGTTAAATGGAATTTTAGATCGATAATCTAAAGTATATTAGCACAGAGTTCAAACAATTTTTTAATTATTGTTATCAATACCAGTTATTTAAAATGTAATCAAATAAGTGTTCATAAAATAGGTTTATATAATATATTGTTTCCTATCGTACCGTATATTGCAAAAGATATCGAATCGATGTGATTTCTAAAATTTTGGTAGATTGGTTTAAAAATAGTTATAGAATAAGGATATAGAAGAATATAAGGATATATAAGGATATTAGGATATAACTGTAACAACTGTGAAAAAGTGTGTATGTCGAATTTTGGTCAAAATTAACTAAGTACGCTAAGATGTAGTCCGAAGCGCCTAGACCAACAAGAAAAACTTGAGAGAGATGTGAGCCCCTGATTATTACATACTAATTTATGGGAGCTGGTCAGTTTAAAACCTTCCCCAGTAAAATCACTGAAATTGACTTATTGAAACACACTTATTCACAGTTGTTAGAGATATATAAGGACATATAGGTTTTTAGGTAACGCTATAAAAACTGACGATTTTTCAGGTTGTGTGCCAAAGTAAACACTTCACTTATCACTTTTATCTTTAATACCTTATCTCTTTTCTCTCATGTCTTATCAGATAATTATTTATCAATTCTTTTATTCAAAACACAACCGCTATATCGCGCCACACGATGAGAATTTTCGTTAGGTTTTTCGGTAACACTGTAAAAACTGTCGATTTTTCCGGTTGTGTACCGAAGTAAAGACATAAAATGTCAAAAACAGATATAGACTAATCAATACTTGCTTGATGTATCGATGGAAGTAAATTTTTAATTTTTGTTTTAAATAATATTGTAAAAATCATTAAAAAAACTTAAAAAACTGCAATTTTTCCCATAGAAATTATTAATTAACCAAAAATAATTTTAGAATTGTGCCACAGTTGATATCTTGTAAATGCTATGAAGAATTTAAATGTTTTTTTTTCAAAGCTTAAAGCTAAGTATTTTTAAAAACATACTGTTTGAAATAGAAACATATATTTTTAAACAAAAATATGTCATATGCGTTTTAAAAGTTGAAAAAAAATATCAAACATCAAAAGTTCCCTATTTTTTGTGTTCATGTAAATATTTACAATTAATTTTAGCTTAATGTTTAGTTTTAGTGAAAAATTGCCTATACAATTCACCTTAATATATCCTATAAGTATATTTTGAAAAAACTTAGGTATTAAATTTCTCAATCACATTGTAATTTAATATTCTTTAAATCAATTGTGAAGTAGAATGTTGGTACAATGGATTTTTTTTTATGTCCAATGTCGTTTAGCCATTTTTTTGTAAGTTCATAAGAGCACTTAAACCGCTTAAAAATGGTTCATTATTACTCAGATACCGAACCAAGCCAAAAACGAAAAATCCACAATTGTGTACATTCGTCTTAACTTTAGAGTGTAAAGAATGGGATTTCATATCTCTTTTGTACAAAAAAACAATGGATGACTTTGGTCTTGACTAAATGATGATGAATTTTAACTTAATCGCAAAACTACAGCACCTGGCGTCTCAATTTTGAGGAATTTAAATAAGTACTTAAATAATTATTACACCCTGAAATTCGACACACTGACACGATTATGTTTAAAAACATTAAATAAAATTGGATTTTTCTATTTATAAAGCTAAAACAAAACTGATGTTTGTAAATTTTAAAGAATGTATTAAAATAAGGATTTATTAAGTTAATGACGAATAGACTTATTTTTTACGTATTTTACTATAATAGTGATTTAAATCATTTTTAGCAAAATAGTAGATAAAATAATTAATATTTTAATATAGATATAATAGGTCTGTAAACATCTAGAATAACGTACAAGTTATTAAATAGTTTAGGCAATCTTCTAAAAAAAAATATTTTTACTGACCAAATGGTGAATGATAATTATAAATACTTTCGTTATTACCAAAATAAATGAAATTAGTGTAGAGTTACCTGTAAAATTATTTAATAAAACAACTATAGTTATGTTTTGGCACTAATAAAAGGAAACGTGACATATTGACTGTCTTGTCTGTTATTATCAGATGGGGATCTAATAACAAAGTTTGGAGTACCTTGCAAAATATATATAATATACACAACAATAATTATGTATTGGTTTCGTCCGGTTGATTTTATAATGTTTGGCGTCTAGGTTTCCTTAGGAATGACACTGACCACAACGGTTGTAGTTATTGTTAAATACTACAGAACTACAGTGTACCGCTACAGTGTTCCGAAAATGATCTACGGCATAAGATAAGAACTTCCTTTGGTGAGGTTTAATAATTTTGCACACGCCACCCAAAGGCCTGTACTGGCTCTTATAACACCGGGGCGGGAATATCTTCAGAAATGATTGCTATTATTATTACCGTCATCGTGATGATTGATAATTAGTTATACGTGGCGTTAATTTTTTAATATCTTCCCTTTTGGTCGACCGCGAAGACCCGTAAAAACGGACACGGCAAATTGACGGTTCCGATTATGATGATGACCACTGCGAGTACGAGGGACGGGAAACACGGCTAAATGCAAAATCGTGTCCAGTGACTATTACCGAAACATGACGAACTCTTTGTGGTATTTGTCTGTGTAGGTATTTTATTATACCCTTTCGTCATGAAACCGTGTACGGTTTGATTACAACTTTAAGTTGTTGTAGCAATTATTAAAACTTACTATGTCCGCACTGGCCACTGTTAGCAAACAATTTTACGCTTTTTTTATTTTTTTTAGTTACCAAGTAAATCTTTATTTATATCTGGAACTTTATTCGGGACCTTGCTTTATTTTTCCTCGATAAAAAAAAATTATATCTCTACAAACGTACAATTTGAAAAGAACGATTGTATATTATAGAATATATACATGATTGTGTACAGCCTCGCTATAAATAGACTTTCAGATTAATTTTTATAATACTTTGATTCGCCAAACTACGCCTAAATAATAAAAAAAGATTCTATCATATCTAGGGAAAAGCGATTTTGAATTTGTTTAAACCTAATAAGATTATAAAAAAAAAATGTTTAGCGTGCTGTAATTTTAAATTGAAAAAAATGTAATTTATTTTGGGGTTTTTCGAAATTTTGATGGGGAAGAGGTGAATCAAATATACAGGTAAATTAAATTAACGTAAGACACTCATTTTGTCGAAAAATAATTTTGTGGTTTTTATTTTTTAAACATTTTTGTTTACGTTGTTTTCCAATATTAAAAATTAAATATTTACCTTTTTAGTAATTTCCAGAGCTCTATCGACTTTTAAACTTAAATGATAGCGTATATATGCAGCCTATATAATTTTTTAAATTAATAATAAGTTTATGAAAACTTTAAGTGATCGATAATCAGTTTGAATAATTACTTTTAATGTTTAAAATTTAGGATGAGAGGTGTAGTGTGTAAAGTCTTGAATGCAAATTTAAATAATACTACGATTTACCCTTCCACGCGTCCCAAAATTTGAACTTAATATTTTCAAAAGAGTGTATCCAAAACAGGTTGTTTGAAAACCAGCCAAAATGTACTGGAAATCATTCTTAATTAAAAATGTTAATTAAATATTCACGTTAAAGTTTAAGTTTTAAGATTTGATAGAGCTTTGGAATATACAAAAAAAAAGTAAATAAATAGAAGTATTATATTATTATAAATAGTTGTTTAGAAAAAAAATATATAAAATAATACGAACGGACCATTGTAAAAATAACTAACCTAACCCAAAAGTATAAATTTCTGATCATAAGTTCTAAAACTATAAAAAAAAGTTATTTAATGGAAAAAAAGGATAAACATTCTGCAGAAAAATATTAATAATATTTTCTTGTTTTATTATTGTTTATCAGTAGTAATATATCTAAGACATGTCTCAATCAAATGTCATTTGAATCAATGCACTTCGACATTTTCTTTAGTATGTTGTAGCATAGCGTGCTATAGTTTTAAGTTTTAATGGGTACATTTTTAGGATCTTTCACCCGATTTTGAAAAACTATTTAAAGGTTCTGGATTTGTCTATTTTAGTGTTGTAGTATTCGAATACAAAATAGGTAGTGTAGTAACTAGTGTAGTACACATTATACCACACTAGTTAAACTAAAATCTCGATTTTTTTTGTGGGTTGGTAATGTATAACGCCATTCAATTATTCTTGTTTTTCATTTTATATCTATATTTTATTCAGTTACACTCTTCTTACCGAATGAAATAAAATTAATACAATTTGTAAAACCTCACTACTAAGTAAAAAAGGTTATTTTATTTTAGACCTAAGTGGAACAAAATCAAAAGTAGGATTAGAATAATAACTAGTATGACAATTTGTTTAATTCCTCCAATATGAGAGCCAGTGGAATTTTCCCAAATTACTTTTTTTATACACAGGTTTTAAACTTAAGTCTTAAGTTTTTACTTGTTTGTTAGTCTATAAAATAACTGAAAATAATCTTTAAAATGAAGTAAAAGCATATATAGAACATTTATTATGTTACTAAAAAATGAATAATTTATATACTTTTATTAAGCTTAGAGTTCATTTTTGCCATTTAAATTTAAAACGTTATGTCAGAAAAATACAAAATATACCTACACGTAAAATTAAAATCTATAAAAAATTCTATACTTACTTTATAGCGGTAGAATTCGATTTAAACAATACATTATGTTTGAGGGTTTTTCTCACAGTTAAAAGGGAAATGGTTAAACGTTTTAACTTTGGCTATATTAAGTAACTTTTATGTACAATTATATTGTCTCTTGTAGATTTGTTGTATTATTATATTATTTGTTACAATTATTTATATTTAATAGCTAAAGATGCTTAAACAAAAGCTAAATACATAAATTATTATGTGTTTTTTTAACACTATGTTCATTTCATATTGGTTATAAATGGTTTTTTTTTTATGATTTTATCGGAAGCCTATTATGAATAGTTGTATACAATAAATAAATTACCGACGGAAATGATTCGACGCGAAGCTGTTTCATATAATAAACACATGCTATTATTTCGTAAAACTCAATTACCTGTATGCGTTTTTTTCATTGGTCCGTACATAAAACCCATCAAATGAGTAATTTTGTTATTACTTATACTGAACCGAAATTAATTGACTATCAAAATTGTAAAGTATTTTATCGGTGTGGACGCCAGTCGGTTTAAATTACACTCGTTTTAATATCGCATTGTATAATCTGTTGACAGGCGGTTTATGCAGTGTAGATTTTTAGTAGTCATTGAGGTTACAGTTTTATCTATAACTTTCGTTAGAGTAAAAAATGTATTTGTATAACTTCATATTTTATCTTAAAACAAGACTATAATAATAATAATTTTATCTACAAGATTTACATATAATACATATTTTATAATAGTTTACATATTATCTATAATAATTAAAGTTAAACCTACATGTATGTACCTGTCATATTGTTATTAAATGCAATTGATAACACTATTCAATTAAAATCGTATAGCTGCTGTATGAACATAGAGCCTATTATAATATGAACATTGTCAAATTGTTCACTTCTAATAAATGAGCAAACCTTTTTACGCATACCTACCAAAATCCGGAATATACTTTAGCAAATAATTAAACGAATGTCATTTTATGTATACCAATCAGTCTGTACTTTAACCCTTATGTTGGAGGCCTTTGTTGGCTGACCCTTGTTAACGGCCAGCATTTATTATTTAAATGGCATCCGCTATCAGTATATTATTCATACATTTAAATACAATATTTTGCAAAAATAATTAATTGTTGACAACCAAATTTAAGGATTTAGTTTATGAATTATTGGTTATGGGTAACGTGTGGATTAAAAATATATTGCGCTATAGTAAAAAGATTAATGTAGTTCATATTTTGTAACATTCTTATACAGTCTTCTGTTCTCTGTTGAGTTAAAAAACTCATTTAAAACAAAGGGTTCGAAAAAAATCAGATTTATACAGTTTATTTTTGAATTTCCCGTGAATTAAATGAAAATGTACCACGATAATCTGACAGATTTTCCACATAAATGTAAATTTAACAGATCATATTCTTATGCATCCTATAAATTATACTACCTATTATTATTCAATGTGTACATACAATTCAAATATATGTTCAATGTGTCATTCGACTATTCGAGTGATATATGTACTCACGGATGCAAATAAGAATATACTCATATGTAGTATGCAGAACAACTTGAATATGTATTATTAAAAATAACATCTGTATTTTACAACATATGCAAAAGCCTTTAAACGTCATCTGCAAACCTAAACGTTTAGGGGATATTAAATAAAGGTATCTCGTCTCTTTTTGAACGAAATTTAATGATCATTCGCATAAGTCAGCGTTTGCCGATTTATTTTCAATATCAATATTGTAAAACAGTCTATGGATACTCGCGAATTTTGGATTTTAATAGTTTGTATTATTTCCTAAGAAGTAATACAAAATTTGTGTTCATAAAAACACCAATTGATTAAATTCATCATGTTCTTTCAGCTGTATGAATACGAAATCCAATCTTTACTTTTTCCAGTAAAAACTAAATTAGAAATTAAAAAATCTTTACATTTTATTATCAAGTGTGTATTATACTGCGGAGGACAACTAGAAACACAATTATTACGGTATAATCAATAGTTATTTACCTATTCGTTTTTTTTTTAATAATAATATAGCGAGTGAAATAAGTTTTAAATCGTTTATTTGATTACAAAAATAAACCGGACTCGAGTAACACAAAAATTGCATATTGAACGAATGCACAGCGAGAAAATAATATAATATTATTCGTCTTACACGCGCTTATAAAACGTTGTATTCGAAAATTGAAAACAAAACACGTCATTCTGTCTATGCATCATACATAAATCCATTATGTCGGCAGTACGCTGTCGGCGAACGGTCTTACTATTATGTTACGTTTAATGTTTGCATTTCTTATTGCAGCTGCACAGTCTGCGAGGTCTAATGCAAGGAAACAAGAACCAAGCGAAAGCGCCGTTGGGAAACAATTTCCGTCCTCCTCAACCGCTGCACAATCGGTTGGTGCGCACCAATATCGATTTCCACCGAAAGGTAATTTATTAACTACTTAGGCAAACAAGCTTGGATTTTTTTTTTGTATTCGTTATGGCCCGCGTGTTGGCGAGCATATCACATTTTATTATATAAAATGCATTAACCATGGCCAAGTAGTGTGTTAAAACAACGGGAATTTTCGGTAAAATGACGATAACGCCGTATTTATCTACACGCAACTATATTATATTGGTGATGAAAACTGGGAAAAAATATGTAATATAATTAAGTACATAGAAATCGATAATACGATACTATAATATAAATTATAGAGTATTCATATTTTACCTATACCTACCCGTGTGAACTGTGACCGGGATATTCGCTTTTTCAATGTCGACTGTAATATTGTTAAGGGTATACCTTTCTACCGACCTCAGTTAAACTCGCTCATAAGTGCCGGTTAAAAAATGGAATTACTTATTTTAAAACATTGATTATACTTGTCGTGTGATGGCTAATAAATTACACTTGCCTTTTACTAAATTCTTCACTACATCAAAATAGACCATTACTATACATTAGTTAAAACAGCAAGTGTTAAAAAAATAACGAGACATAAAAGTCTAGTTATTGATTTACAGTGACCTGTAAAAATTTGATAATATCGACTTAGAGCACTTTATTATATTCTTTACGTTGGTTTAATTTCCTTGGGCGAAAAACGTTGGTTTTTAAAATAAGTTATTACTTATTTGAAATGTATTCGGGTTATATTTTAATGACGAATAACAGATAAGACATGTCTTTGATTTTGCAGGACGATGACAAATTTTGTCCGAGCATGCACAAAGAAGTATACTACAAGGGTAAGTTAATTGCCGGTTATCCGTTTGTCACAGTTGTATTTATTTATTAGACCACCCCGACCATCATCGTGTCGGTGGCGAACAAATTACACGAGTACATTATAAACGCCCCTCCGCTGATATATTAGGTCATGGGTTAGTTACCAAACAAAATAACGCACTATTTTATACTAATTTAAACTTTCCGCTGAAAAAGTACAAATGAAAAATGAAACACTATGATAAGAAATTCGTTTACGTACCTATAATAACAGTTCGTACTGTTGTTTTTTTTTTCATCTTAATTATATTTTATTTCTTAAACTATTTTATTTTTTATAAGTACTTAGAAGAAATAAATAACAAACATCTCGAAGAGCCCTACAATTGGCTTATGGGCTGAGATGAGGATTACATGCGTTTTCGGCGCATATGGGTTAAGAAAAATTGTGCTGAATCCAAATTTAAATATATCTACCCGAAATCTAGTTATACACAATTTTTAGTTAAGTCCAAAAAATAACTCAATAGTTACGGTTTCTCTTATAATCGTTGTTGTGATTTCAATCGTCTGCCATATCAAAAATGCAGTAAAAAACAATGATCTGTAAAAGATTTTATTTGTACGTATTGTGATATTTAATTAATTTTCTTGTACAATTATTAGTAAGACCCGAAATACACTTTTTTTATAGGATTTCTTGCCAAGACATACAATTGTTTTTATATTTAAAAGCTATATATTACATACATAACGATTTCCGAAAATTCTGCAGGAAATTACACTACATAGGAATTTTAATAATAATCTTTCCAATTAAATGTAATATTGTTGTAAATTATTATTATTATTTTTTTTTTTTCGTGGAAATATAAGGAAAACCAAATTCCATTTAAAGAAAGATATTATTATTATTGAATATTAAACATTGTTAACATTGGAAGTGTTACAGTCATAAATTTATATAACATGGTATTGCATTTTGATATATATATGATTATTATTATTATTATTTTTTGGGGTATAGTTAAGTTACATGTTTTCTCACATAAATAAAACTTTTCTATTAGGTTTACAATATTATGCAAAACACAATCTAAACAAGGGTTGTACTACAGTAATAATTATAGTAAAAGTTTCACTTTGTCACAAGGGTAAAACGTAGTATATATATAAAAGTATATTTTGTTTTTAGCCAACGACTGGAACCATCACTAATGACGACTACACACCATCAAATCTCAATGATATTTTGTTAGAACAATCGGAGCGTAAAAAACTACAAAATATTACAGCTGAGAAATACAATTATCACTAATATTATAATATTAATACATGTAACTCAACCTACTTGCACTCGAACTCCTATCCCGAGGCCCTGGACTGAATGGTTTTGGTACATACGTAGAATAAAAGCTCAGATTTTCTCAGCATCATTGTTAATTTTATTTCCCACACAATAAAACATAATAATACTTTCAAAATACTGTCGAACACGTATTAAATATTTTTTAATTACGTTTCAATGATGTTTTGACATAAAAATTAAATTTAAACAAATAAATATTATTTCAAAAATGAATACGATATAAAAATACTGGAAATATTTTCAAAACATTCATACAACTTTTTGTTAATATCATTTTTGAAACACTGACATTTCGGTTAATTATGATTTAAGTACCTATATCTTCAACATTTTGACATTTCTTTGCTGTTTAGATTTATATAAAAGATCCTCACAAAGAAACATATTCTTTATATTTAGATTTAAAAAAAATGTAATTACACGTTATATTAGATGAACAAATTTAATTATGGTTTAAAAAAATATGACTTATAATGTAATTCGCATATTTTTTCTTAAGCATTAACGCACACAACAATTATCATTATTATTTAAAACGTTAAACATGTTTGAAATGTTGTTATAAACTTTGAATATACCTTAAATGATATTTACAAATTATTATTTAAATATGACTTATTTATTTGAGAAATTTACAAAAATGTTTGCAAATTACGTTTATTGCAATAATTTCATTGCATACCAATGTATATTAATTGTATCTTGCCTTCACACATCATCGAGCTATTATAATTTATCAAATTAGTCTACATTTGTATTGATTAATCATAAATCGTATAGGTATTAAATTCATATATACACAGAGTATTTATGTAACTGTCAATACTGATAACCTACTTGAAAGGAAAGCTCGCTTTGTTTTTTATTCTGATATAAAGTACACATTTACGTTTCCGTTTAGTTTGTATAACCAAACATTTAAATCATATTGATAAATTAACATTTCAATAGCTTTATTCTATATTTCAACAATCGTACAATAATTATTATACGTTTATTATTTATTGTATATTGCAAACATTATAATGTATCACACCGCCAGTAATAAATTGATGTATTTATTATACATATTAATGTAATGTATATCAATCGGTTTTTTCATAGTATTCAGGCATAGAACTGAACATAAAATTGACATTTTATACCGTTTACATAATATCTTTTATGTTAATCTGTACAATGATAATATACCTATTATATTAGGTTAAGACTATTCTGATGTGATAGTATCATATTTCCAATATCAATTTTTTAACTTACTTATATTTAGTAATAATTATTATTATTGTGATCATAATGTAATATCAAATGTAACATATTTATAGTGTATTAAGTTTTATAATTGATTGTTATAATATGAAACATTGATAACATTTTATTCGAACGTAATTCCTATTAACGTTGCACATGTTAAAGTGTTATAATCATACAAATGTAATGTTCATTGCACCTAAAACCAAATAGAAAATATAATATACATTAAAAGTTTTTGATTAATAAATAATATATTATACCAAACAAATCAGCCTGTGTTTCATTTTTTTTTTAGAACAAAATATTGTTATGTGCAATCACTTTTTGGTTATCGTGTTTCGGTACTCAAAGGTACGCGAATTCCATTGTTAATCTGTGAAACTTTGAAAATCACTCTGAATACTATCATGTTGTAGTGTACAAAACATCCTCCAGATTTTTTTATTTCTTTAAGACGGTTTTTTGATTTAACATAATCCTTATTTAGCTACTTGTCAATCTGTTTCACGCCCGTAAACAATATATTATATATACCGTGAGTACGACATTATACCTTCCATATCAAGATAAGAAGATGCTGTCTTTACAATAGTTTTGTGATTTATTTTTCAACAGCTTTTATTTTACCTTTAACACTTGACATTTTATCACGTCTCAACATTTGGCTCCGGTACGAGTTTTGGGTCTGAATTAATTGAATTTTTGTCGACCAATATTATACCTGTTGCTAAAAACCTTCATTAATCACAACCACCATAATATTATAATGTGGTAGTGTAATATTATTATACCTTTAACAGTTTTGCAAATTTCTATTTATAACAATACTATTTTTTATTTATATTTTATTATACATTCACCGAGTGTTTTTTTTATGTCGATTTAATTTATTAAACATTTAAACGGATTATAAGCAAAACATTATTATTTATTTCAATTGAGTGTACTATTGCAACGGCAGCAACCTTTTGCAGCCCTCGGGTATGGAAAATGTAATATTATATAAACACATTACTTTACTTTGGGCGGTTAGGGATAGCTCGTCGTAAACCATAATATAATATTCTCAGTCCTCTTTCCGTATACCATAATACGTCGTTTCGAAATGTTTTGATTTGCAATAACACAAGATAAACGATGAAAAAAATATATATTACCCTATAATAGCGTTAGTACCTAGTGGGTGGGTACCAATAGGGGTAAGTATTCCAAATAACCTATGACGTTGTGGCTTTGAGAACGAGAAATACCTCTAGGTAAATATATATATATATATATGTTGAGATATTGTGTCAAATGTAATATCACACAGACCGAGATTGGAAAGAATAAAACTTCCAGATGGATGATTGGCCGAACAAAAGAGAAATAAAAAACACACCTACGCGGTAAGTAAGTGTTGAGCGGCTCGTGACAGATAAAAAATAATATTCGGCTTACGTTTGACGGGTAAAATGTATGCAAAAAACAAAATGTAAACGGCCGTCGAGTACGGAAACGTTCCGGTATGTATTATATTATGCTACACACATGTAAATCCAACCGACAACAAATCATAATACAAAGCGGGGCTGTTGCAAACAAGTATGCGATGTCGCGTAGCAATAGGCGAGACATGAAAAAGTGAGTACGACTGGATTTCGAAAAAACTACTCGAAACGCCTCGTATCAAACACACAAGAAAAAATATTCTGGTAATTATTAGAATAAAGATGTATTTCTCGTCTTAGATTCTTTTCCATTAGCGAGAAAAGGGTACAGTGTATTATATTTTCTTATCCAAGGTCAAATATAGTGTACTGTGATAAGATTTTGACATTTTATTATTTATGACTTTCTTAGAAAAATAACTTTAAGCCAAGCCAAGTTTTCATATTTTTTTGTAGTGGTACCATCTACCTCTTGATATTAAATCAGAGCTCAACATTCAATGACTAAACCTAGCTATCATAAACATCAGTTCTAACCTAATCTAACGTCGTGACTATGAATACACAGTATTATTATATACAGTCTTATTCACTGTAAAAGTCTATAACATCTATAGTCTATACACTTTATAAGTCTATAGAATATCATTAATGCAAGTTGCTAAGTCTTAGCAGCTAAGATTAAGTATTATTCCCATGAATTGAGCGACTTTTTTTACAACAAATCTATTTTATTTATTCCAGAAAAGTTTCAGAGAAAATAACACAGTGAAGTTTTGAAATTATTTTTTTTAGCCAAGGAGTAAATGTGAATTTTGCCTGGAACTGTATCTGTATCAGATAACGTACCTTAAACACAAAAAAAAAAAAAAATTTTCAACGTGAATGTGATGTTAACGGAATATAAATAGATAATGTTATTTGAAAAAAAAAAACACTCCCTAATTAATATTATGGTAGCCTATACTTAAAAATATTATTGTTCGACTTTTAAAATATAATTAATAATTAACGGCAAACATTAAAAATGAAAGATCAAATCATACAACAAATATTTTACATAAGACTTAAAGTTGAATAAAAAGTAGCAACTAAAAGAAAATCAGGAGTCTTGATGACGGGAACAAAATGAGATTTAAGGGTAGTTCAAAAAGTAGAGGATGGAATATCATATGAAAAAATAAAAAAATAAAAATGTATCATCTACTAAAAACAAGAGAACGCCTTGGAATACTGTATAGTTTTTCGACTAAAATACCTGAATAAAGTTTTAATTAAAATAAAATGAATAGCTTAATTTAAAAAGCCACTAACATGGTTTTTAAAATCAACTTTATAACACTTGGTACTTAGCTGAATGTGAATATAATTTTTTTTATAAGAATACGCCTAAATAATATGTTACAAAGAGTTGAGATTTTTTTTAAATAATATTATAATGATAAATTATTTTTTTGCTGTTGCGTAACACAAGAAAACAATAAATACATGTTTATAATGTATATTGTAGTAACACATTCTTGTAGTTTTTTTACGCTTCACTAAAAAAAAAATACAACACAACTTAGCTGATTTTATCTAATAAACAGTTGAATCTAACAAATGATCAGAAGGATCAACTATCAAAATAATATAGTAAATAGTAATTTTTACGAACAATTTTTTTAGATGCAACTAAATGTTTTGTTCATGTGGGTATTATAAGGGAAAACTACACCATAGAAGAAGGCGATCCCCGGTTCGATAGTGAAGAACTCGATCGAATACTCTTTGGCTCTGGTTGCAAATAGAAAAGAAGGCAAACATTTAAAGGAACATAATACAGAAAGAGAACCCGTATTAGAAGATTTTACAGTTAAAAACAAGATACCAAAATTAAATTTAAGTAGATACGATATAAATAAGCTAGACAAGTGTTATTTCGAGGAAGAATTAGAAAAAATAAGCCTAGAACATTGTAAATTTGACGATCGTGAATATGCTTTGGTATGTAGAATGATACACGATAGACCACACTGGAATACTCCATTAAGAGATTCTATACTTACTTATGGGGTAAATAATTTTAATGCGAAAAGATATATTAAAAAAGTTCTTAAAAGAACTCCATCGTCGTGGAAGAGGATAGAAACAGATGTTATAGAGATAAGAAAGGAACGGGAGAAGTTACGAAAACAATTGCTCGAGTATTTCTTAAAACCTTTTGCTGAGAGAGATAAAGAATTTGATAATGCTTTTATTTTTTAAATAATGGAAACGTTAGAAGTTAGAACCGATAAAGGATTTCAATGAAAAATGGCTTAAACATAAAACACAAATACAGTATAAAGCGAAATTACGTGGGGGGAAACGCGTACGTGGTAACATACGACTTGAGTCAGAAAAAAAATCATTCTATGATGTTTGATTATGATTCCTCGCTAGGAAATTAATATTTAATTTCGGCGATACTACCTGCATGAAAACTTTTGAGAAAATATTATTAAAAACGGCCACAGGTTAGAAATGTCCTCCAACAAACTTGAATTAATTATAGAATACATTTATTTATATAAGTTGTTAATCAAATAGATGGTCATTTATTTAATTACAAACTATACCTAAATATTCATATTTCATCTATAACATGAGAAATATCTACTTAAACGCATAGTATGAAAAACTGTTCTAAAACATTCAACAAACACCCAAGGTTCTAATAAAGAGCCATTATTAATCTACATTTTTTTTAAAACCAGCTAATAGCGAACCTTGGCGAGATTTCTTAAACCCTTTTCGCCAATGCTCAGTAAGCTAAATTGTAATATTACAAACTTCAGTTTTTCTAAAACCCCTTTAGATTTATACAAACCTGACAAAAACCCTATCATTGAAATTAATGTTTATAATTGCGGTGTAATTACGTATACGTGAATTAAACTATATCTTGTAGTAAATGTCATACTTTTTCAATAATTTTGCCGTACAATCAGTTTTGATAAATTTACTAATAATGCAAGCTGTAAATATTACAAAATTAAATAGTATCCATATTACCTAAGTGATGTTTTTGTTGTTTATAAATGAAATTGTGTAAAACATTAATTATTGTTTAAACGCAATTGTCTTAAAAATTGTATTGATATTATTACATCTTATACACTTGAACAATACAATTTAATATATTCCTGGATGTACTTATTGTAAGTTTTCACATTCACAGTCTACACACCGGTAAGTTTTAATTAAACAATATACATTTCGTTGTTTTTCAATTCAATTTTGATATAAAGTCGTTATTAAAATTCATTATAATTTTTTTTATATTCTTATAATCCTGTAAAAATAAGATTTGTATTGGTAGCGAAATTAGATTATTTTTATCGTTTGTATTTAAAAATAAAACCCATAGTAACCTAGTGGGAAAAGTTAAATTTTTAACAAAACACAGTCCACAAAAATAACGATCGACGATCAGTATTATAGATGATAACATAGTTGTCGAAATACACGTATGCTATAAGTGTATTATATTTGGGGATTGGATTTTATTGAAAATAATAAACGTTGTATAATTAGAAAAACTTATCTTTTGTTATAGATATGTCTTATCGCTGGGGTTCATCCTAAAAATGTGTCAACAACGTCACGTGCCCGTCGTCGGCGGAGGTGAGGAGGGGGAGATTAGAGATAAGAGATACAATTTAGATAATAGAAAAGTACCAAAAAGTGCCAGTGTCCTATACTTGTATATTAAGACATACCCTATATTCCTATGTATGCACTTGGTCATGCCCACTTTTTTATATTAAAATTAGTCGGCATTCTTAAAATGATATTTGTAAAAAATGTTGTCAAATATTGCCCATCCTTTACCCCTTAATAAATAGCGCTTTCCGTTGCCCTTATTTATAAATATATAAATATACGTTGAGTCTAAAAGAGCCAATATCAAATGTTTGAAATTCATTATTGAGTTAATACTAAAATAAATGGCACAACGTAAATTCGATTTATACATAAATGCTGGCGATCACCGTTCCACTCCCCCCGCCCATACCTTTAAACCATAAAAACTCCAAAAATAAGTGTTCGAAAGATATTTTCAACTTGTTATATTTTACTTAAGACAATCACAAAGTCATTTTATAAGAAGAAAAGTGGTCGGGGATACTTTTTAAGAATCCAAGTTGATGATAATTTTAGGTATAGTAAAAGAGGAGATAAAATTTTATTGAATATGTCATTTAAGAAGTATCATTTTTGACATGTTGAAATTATATTTAGTTGAATTAAAAATAGTAATTTTTTTTTTAACTTGTTAATAAGGACCGTACAATGTGAACAACCGTAGAAAAATGAATAATAAAAACATTTCCTTTATAAAATATATTAGTAAACAATACATATATATATATTCTGACTTTTAGTTGAACTAAAATACTTATTCATACATATTAAGCCATTTAATAGTGTAGCATGACGAAAAGGCAAAAATAATATGTCTTTTAATATTGGTTGTCATTGAATAATAATTTTAGCCGTGTTAAACCGAGTATTTTTTTTTTTCACTGATAAACATTTGTTTTGATTTAGCGGGTCATAAACCACACCTCAATAGAACTGAAAAAGGGGTGTCATTTTGTCGTCAGCCTGATGCACGTTGTCAATTGCACACGTTTGGCTATAAATTTAAACGAAATATAAATACATTCATATTAATATGTGTCCTCGGAGCCAGTACAATATGTTGACGTTATACATATTCATATTTTTATTTGTATTAATCCGGCGGCGGTATTTTCACATTGTGGGCACAACGAGTGCAGAACATATTTACTTCCGGTGTGCAACGGTTTTCTTCTAGAACTACCAAGGCAAACGCACAACGAAAATAAATTTACGTGGACGGGCCCGGACTAGGGAGGGAGGAAATAAGCGTCTAAGTGAGATTGGTTGTAGGGGTAAAAAAATAAAACAATATGTGTTAGGTAAGAACAGCGTGTGTGGTTCTACCGAAGAACTTGTACGGATAAAGGCCACAGCGTGGTTGATGCGGGTAACGACTAGTCATAGAGTCAGTGTAAAGTCCCTGAGAGACCGCCGACGTCGTGCACCATAATAACGTTCGGTGTCGTTGCTTACACAAGCACAACAACGGGGAGAGTATAGCCTTGGTGCACTTGGTCCTTCACATTTCACCTCATTGTATACTCCTTTCCCGTCGTATTTACGGGACACAGTTAGTCTTAAGAAGAACTTATAACCGTTTTCATTGGATACCGCGCCGTATTTCGTTTTATGGTCTTTTATTCGCCCTTTTCATATTTGTTTTCGCGTGGAACAAATTTTCACCCTCCATAAACAACAATTTAACAAGAATAAAAACACACACACAATAATAAAATATCTTCAAAAAAAAAAAAAAACCTTTAGCCGTTTAGCCATAAACAAATCAGGGTTAACCCCCTACTTTATAGCCGTCACTCTGGTAGTACCGTTTTACTTTGCTTATTCAGCGTTATAATATAAATATAAACTACAATTTATTCGTTGTGTTGCGTATGTTTAGTTTCAAAAGATTCAGAGTAGGTACCGTTAATATTGTAGCAGGTTTCATACCAAATATAAAATGATTAAAAAAAAAAACATTTGATTTGATTTTTGGAACGTTGTAATAATATATAACCATAGAACTTTTTCTAATTTTATACTAATATTATTATGGTTACAACAATGTAACAATCATCAATGCATGTACGGATTTACCTACATATTCTTATATATATATATTAAACTAAACTGTCGTATTATAATAAAAAAAAATAAATGTCATTAATCATTAAATAATATTGGATTTGAACTTTTAGGGCATTCTTTTAATTGTGTTTGTACCATTACTTTATTATTATAAACAATTAGTTGTTGTTATATGATTTAAATTATTGTTAATTTTAAACTATAATTATGCATAAATTATTTTTATGTTTTAACAAAATAATCATATTTAGTTTATTAGAATTATTGGGGTTTTTTTTTAATTCTATCATCTGAATAGTAACAAAAAAGTTAAAATATTTGTACCAGAACGAATGTCGGATAAGAACCACGGTTCCATTCACCGTTATGTATTCATGAACTAAATTATAAAAAAATGTTCTAAATGTATATATTTCGAGAACGTCTTATTATACTAAAAATAAATAATACTTTAATTTTTTTTTATTGTATAACATCGTACAATTGTTTGGCTCCAAGAACATTATAACTAGAAACCGGAATAATATTCTCTTAAAATAGCTAAAATAAGATGCTAATATTCTCTTAAACAAATTGAAAATATTCTTTAAAAATCGTAGTAAAATATGTAAAAAAAATGCTTTTATTTATTAATTTACTTTTACATAAATATATTCACTTAAATTCAAAATATGCTATAATATGCACAAAAATAGCGTAAGTGTTATTTGATTCATATAAACACACGATTGAGTTTCTAACATTAAAGTTTATTTTTTTTCTTGTCATTGTGAAATTATAAACTAAATTACTATTACAATAATTTTAAGATACAATAATTATGTTCTTACCAATTAGTTAATATTGAATATACAACAACTACATTTACTCGTATATTACTTTTAAATTGCTATAGGTTCATAACGGGCAATGGGTTTTAATAAAACTCTAAAACCAACGTACTAGGATTTAAGAAAAGTAGTATTCTGCATGTAAGACGGCCTTTTATCTCTGTGTCGGATAGTTATGGGATAACCACCGACTTTCCTAGTGAATCCGTCGCTGATTTTCACTTTTACGTCGGCTAGCTTAATGTCGGTGTGAACACTGAAATTGCGTAAGACTTCGGCCAGCAGTAACTTCATGGACATCATGGCATATTTCATTCCTAACAATCCATTTACTTTCATTAACGTCAAGAAATTAACAGCAATAAAAAAAAAATGATAAACATCATTAGGGATACGTTAGTTAATAAGAGGTCAGCAATACGATTCAGATGATTCAACGTCAAAAAAAAAAGTTGCTATATTGAGAGAAAAATGACAAGGAGAAATATTTTATGTAATCATTGATGTGATAGTATTGTAAAAGACTACCAAAAGAGTAACGAGCAAGTATTTCAAACCAATCTAGTCCATGGTGATTAAAAAATTAAAAAAATTAACATAAATATAATTGTTTTTCGTACCTATGCAGCCCCTTGGCCCTCCACTAAACGCTATGTAACTGTATTTGTGACGGTTGGCTACATTTTCCGGGCTAAAGTTATCCGGATTAAATGCGTAAGGGTCGGGATACAAAAGCGGACAATGATGAGTTACCATAGGAGATATGGTAACGCTAGTTCCCTTTGGCAGTACGTAGTGCGCTGTAATTACAAAAAAAAAACGAGATTGTTCTTGGTTGTTAACACCACACGTCATAACAAGAGATACACACAGAGTTTGATGTCGTCTTGAAGTTGTCTGGTGAAAACAGATATGATCGGAAAGAGTCTAAGCGTTTCCTTAAGCACCTGTTCCAAGTACACGAGTTTGGCAGTGTCGTCAGGCGTCATTTCCCGGTCACTGTCACCCACGACGTTGTAAATTTCGTCATACACTTCGTTCTGAGTATTAATAATAATGTATTAAAATTTAAAAAAAATTTACAAATGGGCAATTATCGCTTTACTTGGACGTCTTGATGTATGGCTAACAATAATAGACAAAAACACTCGGTGGTGCCATTGGTGTCGCTACCCTTTAATCAGAAGAATACATAATAATATTGTAGTTTGATATAAATATATCAATTTTATATGCAGGTGATAACAATAATTATATTCGTTTATGTACAAATTTTGCTAACATAAAATAATATTATAGGTGACATAAAACTACCTACTATCTAGAACATTTTGTACAGTATGTACTCTTTATTTTTTTTTAATTATTTCATTAAGAATCGGTAACAGAAAATTAACCATTTGTTATTGTTTGTTCTCGTGCACGTGAACTAATGTTAAATAGCTTTTTAAAACATTTAAAACAATATTATTATTACAAGTTTAGATGTTTAAATGGTGTACGGGATATTTTAATTAAAAAATATTATATTCGTTCTATAGACAACAATAATAACATTCTGGTCTAAGGAAGTCGGGTCTGAAGCTTTATGTTAATAATATTATCATAGTGGTTTAGAGAGAACCATATTACCGCAAACAACATTGTTATGACTTCATCTCGAACATCAGCTTCGGTAAAATCGTGATCAGTCTCGTTAGCCAATAGTAAACAATCTAAAAACGTTCGGATTTTGATGGCTAAAATGACGAAAATCAGCGTTAATGAATCATTAAACCCTTTGATTTCAATAATTAGTGTGCATAATATTACACTTACTCCCGTCATTATTTTCACCCTGACCTTCGAATGATTTCATCGCCTCTCTTTTTGACTTGAAGTCTAGTTTCTTCTCCTCAATCAACTACGAGTTAATTGATTGATAATTTAATTTGTCAACACTTATAAATACTATATAATATACAACCTGTAAAGGCAACTTGTTAATGGTTTTCAGATTTTTGCCCAGATCACTAAAGCTCTTATACATGGTAAAAATTGAGTCCACATACAACCACGGTTTATTCACTGCTTTGACCAGTTCGTCTGCGATACTAAATCCACGTGGTTTTCATTCAAGGATAAATAATTTACAATAATACCATACAGTGTTGATATATTTTTTACTTACACGGTTAATAAGCTCAAAAATTCATGCTTCTTACGCTTGTCGTTCACTTGATAGTCCATAGCAACGTCTATTATGAACAAAATCTACATTATATTTATTTTTAATCAGTCTTGAACATAACACACTATCGAGTAATTTCAATAAATTCAAAGAACAAGATTTATAATTATTTCGGTCTATAAACGATGGCAGAAATTCAGCATTGCTTACGGCAGATTGTATCAAACGTAGTAGAGATGATATAATCCCATAAGTCGAACGGTTCTGTCGAATTCACGTTTCTTTTTAGTTCTCTAACGAGATTTTTGTGTTTCTCATTAAACACTGGGTACAACTGCTCTAGAAATTTTATATTAAACGAGTACGCTATCACACGGCGGTGCTTACGCCATTTGTCAACTGAAAACAAAATAATTCAATGCACTTGGTTATTCACCATTGAGTATTTTTTTCTGAATTAATTTAAACCACCGTCTTATTACATTACTACAACTACATTTTTATTACCTGGAGCGGTTAACAAACCTTCGCCCAATAAACTTTTCATGAATGAATATAAGTAACCTTTTTCTAGGGCCTTTGAATTATTTAACACGATCTGAAACATCCATTTTAAACGTTGAAGACAATAATATAATCAAATTATTAACCAAATCATGATTAATCTTCAACTCAAATGATTTTCTCCGGCCAACACTGAAGATGTCCGTATAATATTTCAATAAAATATTTAATACAATTTAGTAATCGTTATAACATCTACATAGGATGTTGTACTAACTGATCACATGCACTTTCCATGCATTAGTGAATAATGTGAGACATAATCTATATGATTTAGATGTGAATGGGTTAAATAAAATGTTTTTTTTTTTAAAAACACTACTTGTATGTCTTCCGGCTTGACAACGCTAACATAGTAAATTGGACCAATCCATGTGCCAACTGGTTCGTAATTGTATTGGACGGCGTTTCTTATCAATTTCTTTACGGTACCTATATTTTCATTTTGATTATTGTGTATTTGGCAAGTTGTTCAAGTGAACAAATTGTTTAAATCAAAAATTTCGTTAGTGTTACCGTCATACGTCGGCGTGTACATGGAAGCGGTACCGATCAACGGGTACGACTTAGGTCCGGGTAATTTTGCAGCCAACTCGCAGAAGCGTCTGTGTTTCCATTGCCAGTGAAACCAATAAGCCACTGATGAAGCGAGCGTCGTGTAAACGATTAACTCCAACCACAGCAGGTTATTGAATAAGCTCATCTACACAATATGTACTATTATTGAATACACATAAATTATCATGACTAGAGCCCAGAAGTCCATACATTTGCATGTTTTTAGAATGGGCCAAAAAAATGACCATAATCATAATAATATATAAAATTTCTATAATCTACAAATTTTACATGAAAAAGAAAGAAAGTTGCACAATTGTTTTGCTTTTATAATTTGTTTCATTTATGATTTTTTTAAAAGAAGTTTAAATTTTGTTTTCCATACTTTATTAATAATGATAATATATTGTACATTAAACAAATTGTTATGTAGACTTTGTGGTTACAATTAGACTAAACATAATACAAAACTAGAAAAAAAACATTGAGAATCAAAATGAAAACAAATTTTAAATGCATATTGAGGGTTTTACTAGCGCATAAATGCATGCATATTTCGGTTGTTTTTAAGTATTTACAACCGGGCCCTAATTATGGTGCATGACGAAAATGTATTATTAAGCTGTAAAAAAGTCTTTAGTTTAACTGTAGCTTTTAAATATGTAAGTATTTTTAGGTTCATAATTTAAAAGTTAAATAAGTGATTATAAAAGGACAGGTTTTTCATTAGGGTGGAGTTGAAATCAATTAGTGTCCATTTAAATGATACAGCATACATAATATATGTTTTGTACAACAAAATATTCAAAATACCTACAAAATGATTTAATTTTTTTTATATTTATATTAAAAATCTCGTAATCTTAAGTAAGTTTCTTCTTACATCAATTTGTATAAGCTCTGATATACATCAAACATATTGAACTTTTTTCGATTTTGTATTGCTATTTAGAGACTTTATCAGGGTACTATATAGATTTCAATATGATTATTAATTTATCATCATAAAAGTAACTATGCTTCTACGCTTTGTAATAACTACTTAATTGTCAAGATAACATTTAAATTATTGTATTTTAGCTTCGATGCAAAGCATAAATGCTATTTTAAAAATAATAATTATTATAGAACTATTTTTGAAATGTTCATCAAACTCGGATAGTTACCTCAAAACTGAAGAATAAAACAGTTGTAATACCATTAAAAAAAAAATCATATGTTTTCGACGAAATAGTCGTAGAGTATACAAGAATACTTACAGTTTAGGCTGGAGAGATCCTTGATGCATTAAAATCGCGTCGTGTACCGATAAAGCCAAATGCCGTTTTATGATGTTTATTTTTTATAATAGGTACACAATCATTATGAAACGAAAACCATTATTTTCGGTCATGGGTATAATATTATTAAAATTTATGATGATTTCCAAGAACGATGTCGACAATAAGTAACTATTAATATGAGTTTAAAAAATATTACGACAATATTTTGTCACTAATTATTATTCAATATAAATACATTTACATAATGGCTATTATCATCGATTATTAACCACGCATGTTTCAACATATTCCAATTTATTTTAATAGGAATTTTATGTTTCATTACAAAACCTTAAATACCTTAACTAATATTGAATTAAAATATATATTATAACAAATAATGCAACGTACGTTATCAAAATATGTTGATACGAAATGAAAATATTTTTTATTACCAATCAAAAAGTTTGCAAAATCATTGACTGTAATTATTCTGTAATGTATTCGATTTACTGGTGAATCTATTGTTTATGTTTAAACCATAAAGAAACGAAACGGCGAGAAGGAAAGTTTACATAAATAATAATTATAATTTTTACAATTTTAAACTACGAATATTATAGTTTATCAATAGTTTTAAAATTAATAAAGATACAAAAGAACCGATTCTTATAAAATTAAAGTCGACTTATGTTTTTTTCGGTGTTATTTTATTAGTATTAGGGGAAACACGTTTAAGGTTGATCTAGAAAAATGTATTGCCATAGTCACCCATACATCGTGTTTAGCAATACAATGAAAATATTTTCATTACTTGTTGACTGTTGATTCACTCACACATAGCAGCTTGCAAATCGATAGTGTAATATTTCCTTTCTTTCGGTTTTTCTTACTAAAATAAGTTTGACTACAAATTTTTGAGAAAATTGCACATGTTATAGCCACATTCTATATCTACCTTTGGTACAATTTTCAGAGCTAAGTCCCAAAAACTTTGCTTGAAAAAGTGAAATAAAGAAAAATAATCTATTCCTTCCAGAAGAAAGGGTTTATAAAATGTTTGGTTTATTAATGTTTATCTATATCTAAAGCATATTCCATAAAAATTTGAAACTAATTCGACTATTTTAAAAAAAATTATAGAGCATCGCGATTTTAAGTTGAAAATGATGTACATTTTTGAGGTTTTTTTCTCGATTCTGAAGGAAGAGAGTGGCTTTGATACATATTTGGCCAAATAAATAGTCCCCTTTAAAAAGTTTAAAACTTTTTTCAAAATTATTAAATAAGTTGACAGTGTCAATAGCAAAGGAAAAAAAATAATCCATTGAAGCTTTCTTTAAAAGTTTTTTCTATTATTACTTTATTATTTGACAGTCGTCGTAAGATAATGAAATCAATATAATATGTTTCGTAGAATTGAAACACTAGCCAAAGGCAATACACGAAAAAGATCATAAAACAATGTATTTTAAGGTAACCCTCACATTATATGTTTTTTAGAATTGTATATACCCATTAGGATCAAACTAGTATCTTAGATTTTTAACTGAACTCAATGCTCAATATACACTAAATAGATTTCCTACAAAGTTGTAAGTACTAATTGCATCTTTTTCTGACGTAAGTTTATATGCAGGATAGTGCATATTGTATGTATTAGAGGAAATTAATAGATAGAATAGGGATTTATTTCTAGAATTAATATAATTGATTTTAAAATTTTAACGTTCAACAAGTTCGGACAATCAATTTGATTAAAGAATAATTTATATAAAAATTTTAAATTAAGCAATCGAAATATTTTATTAAATTAAATAATCTTAAAAGAATTGCTTACATTGTCATACATCTGAATGAGGGCATCTTTGAAAACCACATTTATAGCATAAATATCTTAAAAAATTATTTTGAACATAATTTAACATTGATATCGTGACATATTATCCGAATGCCAAATCAAAGAAGCATATTCAAATTTGGATCGGACTAGAGAATATTATAAAACTTTTAAGGCTGATTCGCCATTAAAATCTGTACACATGCGGCGTTTAATCAAATCTAATTTCAAATAAGACTTATGCATCAACATGATATTTAAAAGAAAGTTTAGAGTAAAAAATAACACCTAAGTCATTAATTAGATTTTTTCGAGATAGGTTTAAATTATTAAGGCAGTAGTTAAAAAGTAATGTATTTTTCTTTAAAGAAAATTAATAGTGGCACATTTATCAGTATTCGTACATCGAATTATATATCATGTGAAAAAATGTATACAGCAGTAATAATTTTTTTAATGAGTATGGACAGTAAGGTCGAAGAAGTCCCAGTACATTATTCTACTTTAAAAATTCTATTATTTGACTATATTATGTTTCTTATAGTATTATATCAGTTAAAGATTAACCTATTTTAATTTTGGAGTATTTATATCATTTTTTAAAAACCTATGTGTCATATTTTTAAGTTAAAAAGCATGTTCATTTTTAGAGTACCTATTTTTTATATTTTTGAAAGATAGGAAGAGAACTTCTTAACTTATCCCCATATAGAGGAACTTTCATGTAAGATTTCTGTTCTAAAGATGTTCTACAATGAAGACTTGGCTCGTGGGGATGGCACAGTTATCGTACAATATAGCAATGTTTTAAAAGTTTTATTAAGTCAATAGTCGAGATTCAAATATATAAAAACAAAATCACATTATTTTTCTATGAAACCTATTTATTCTCAGATTCGCATCGAAGCTCAAAGTTGTTAGAATGTTATAACAAAATAAATATTTTTCATATTTTCATTTATAAAAATCGCCGAAAAATTAGTATATTTTTTATTACATGGTGTATTTTCTGATAAATAATCAAATATTACACTCATTACTTATTTTGATCATTTAATTAACATCGTATTCATTATAAACAGTTTTAATAACACTGAGTGTGTTATTTTACACCCATAAGAAAATAAAAACTATAAAACGTACATATTGTATGCTAATTATTTGTAATTAATTTTTTTTATTTTAGTACATTTTTATGTCATGTTCGTGTTGCTTTTTAATTTCACTCTGCGTTTTTGGTTGTCAGAGGCCTCCTGGGACGAATAGTTACATAATAACCATGCGCAGACTTGGCTAACATATCCATTTGTAATTCTATGTCCGAGTATTTAACTTTGGTATGCACACTGTAGTTTCGGAGCACCGCCACCAACATAAGTTTCATCGACAACGTGGCGTATTTAGCACCTGAAAGTTTGAGAACAAAATTAGATTCCAAAAAGACAGTTAAGAAATTTGATCTATACTCATACCCAAACATCCTCTGGGTCCGCCACTGAATGCTAGGTAACTAAACTTATGTCGTTTGCTCTCGTTTTCTGGGTTAAAGTTTTCTGGATTGAACACTTCCGGATTGGGGTAAAGTTGTGATATTTTATGTGTGACTAACGGTGCTACAAACACATTACAACCGGAAGGCAATTCATAATTTGCTGTAAACACACGATGGCATCAGTCTAACGTAGTCAAATAACAATGCTACTTTAAAGGTATATCAATCTACCATAACACAATACCGTTTATAATAAAAATAAATGACGGTACATATGAATGATAGCAATCTACAAACATAAATACAATATTTTTTTTTGTACAAGAACCAATTAAAATATAATTTTACATTTATTTTGTAGTTGTAAAAAACATTGTTGCTCGCCATTTAGTTAAAATGTTATAAACATTTGTTCTAAGTATCATAGTATTGTGTATTGAACGGTTTTGAAAATGTTATGGGTAAAGGAGAAAAGTTAGTAATATACAATGCCATTGATAAATGTGATTATTTTGATCAGATTCAGAAATCAAATTTTACACAAATACACATTGTAAAAAATGGTTCTCCTAAAAAAAATGATATGAAACCATCTTAAGAGACATAACACAATTTTTTAACAAACATAACAGTTTACGCACAGTTTTTTAAGAACTAAGTGTTAATATTTAATTATTAGTAGTTTTTAACGTCAAATTAAATAACAATTTTTTGAATACCAAATATTTACTAGTTTTATGTATGTTTGTATAATATATCGAATATTTTATAGACTTAAAAGAAGCTAAGATTTACGGTTGAATCAATTTCAGTATCGATTTGTATACTCACTAAGTTTGATGTCGCCGTCGGTTTTTCTGGAAAAAATTGCTCCTGGGGGGAAATGACGGAGAGTTTCTTTTATTACCTGTTCTAAATACTTGAATTTATATATTTCATCCGGGTTAACGTCCCGATCGCTGTCTCCCAGTATACTGTAAATTTCTTCGTAGACTTTGTGCTAAAAACAAGTACATTTTTTTTTATCAGTTAGGTATTAGTATTACTTTTATGTCTACCTGTTTTCTAATTTCGCACATTACTAATTGTTTCTAAAAAACTGAATGCGAATTGGTCGTGAGGGAATGAAGCCCCCCTGGTCAAATGAAATTTCTGACAATGCATATCCCCCAAAATTTTAAGTACGCAAATGGATCCGTTCAAGTATATAATCAGTGATATCTAATGTCTTACCTGGATATCCTGATGCATTGCTAGCATCAACAAACAAAAACATTCACCTATTGCGCTTGTGTCGCTGCCCTTTATTTATAAAAAAAATGTACATAAATACCTATCATTAATTTATTTTATTTTCATTTATAATTCATTTGGTTAGTAGATTATGATTTTTTTTTTATCGAGTTGTGATTTTAAGAATTACCGCTATGGTCATTGTTACGACTTCATCTCTAAGGTCTTGGTCAGAAAAATCTGCCCCGTCGTCGTTTAATTTCAACAGTTTGTCCAAGAATACCTTTGTTCTTTTTTCTTACAAAAAAATTAAAACACCGTAAACTATAAGTTAATAAATTTGGAAAGTATTTAATTCGGCTTACTTTCGATTTCTTCGTCGGCTTCCCAAGTGCTCTTGTCGCCTTTCTCCGTTTTCCTGGAGTTGTATTCTATTTTCTTTTCTTGGATAATCTAGACGATAATAGACATTTTAATCTCAATTTTCGATTTGCTACAAAGCTGTCGACTTACTTCTTTTGTGATTCTATCGAAAACCTTGAAGTGTTCACTCCACCCGGTCAGATGAGCATACAAGGTGAACACCACTGTCGGATACATCCAGGGCTTCACAATAAACTGACTAAGTTCTGTAAGTCTTAAAAAGAAAAATATTACATCGTTAAACTGATTAAGTGACGCATTACTAATGTAACGTTCATAAGTACATATTAATGTCTTTAGATTAAGGTTATAATATTTGATTTACTTCTTAAGGGTATAGACGAATCCGGTTAAGTTGTATTTGTCGATGTGGTTGTAACCCATAGCGGCTTCTGCAAACGAAAATACCTTGATGAAATTAGGATGAATATTATTACTGTTGTTCTGTGTGCTTACGGCTCACGTTGTGCAGGTTACACGTCATGATGTAGTCCCACAAGTTGAAAGGTTCGGATTCTCCCAGGTGCTTGCTTAGACTAGCCACTAATTTTTTATTATTGTCATTGAACACAGGAAAGAGCTGGTCCAAAAACTTAGGGTTGAATATGGTGGCGATGACTCGCCGGTGCCTTCGCCATTTGTCCACTAGAAAACCGTCATAGGATACTAATTATAAATTAACGCTATTCTATCTATAGAATTTATACCCGGTGCCGTAAACACTCCTTCTCCAGCCAGATTTCTCAGTATTCGGTATATAATACCTTTTTCCAATGCTTTAGAACTGTTCAACACAATCTATAATAAGAAAAACATAGGCATACCGAGTCATTTACAGATGTTTAGTTATAATAGTAATAATGGTAATAGTATTTTGGTGAAGATTGAAAGCAAGTCCATAAAGGCAAATTTACGGTAACCTGTGATACACATACTTGTACGTCCTCAGGTTTGTAAACGCCAACAAAAAGAAACGGGCCCACCCACATTTTTATAGGCTCGTAGTTGTATTTTTCAGCGGCCTTCTTAATGTTCGCCACAACCTCTACAATAATTTATTACAGAAGTCATACTTTAGTTTTATATATTAAATTAATTTTTAAACTGTGTAACTTCTATCGACTTAATTGAGCAACTGACTTTCAGGTGTGGTATTCAAATCGTATATTGATCCTTTCATCGGGTACGATGGTGGCCCGGGCAACTTAGCGGCAAGCTGATAAAATCTTCTATGTTCCCATCGCATATGACACCAAATCACCACCAGAAAAACAATTGTACCGTAGAACAATATTTCCAACTTCGTTGATGGTAGGGCATAATTAATTATCTGAAAAAAAATTATTTTAAGGGTCCGGTCGGGGCCAGTAACAAGAGAAAAATCGCACTTTGAAAGATAAAATTATCCTTTTAAAATTCAATTTCAACGAACCGTGTTTGAATTTTACAGTTTTGTTGCATTTTCATCTTTAAATTGGTAATTAATTATGTAAAAATAAAAATCTGCAGAGTAAAAAATGTTATTAAAAAAAATAAGAATTATAATAAACTCCGGATAGTTCATCAGTCATTCTTTACCAGCAAACCGGCGATGACTCAAATGAAATACATATTTGTCCCTACTACTAAAATTTAATCTGAAAATTAACATGAATTAACCTGAAATGGTTTGTTTTGATATAATCGATATTTGCTGCAAAATATTTTATGCCAAATAATGCCCAGATTTTTCTTTTAACAATAAATGGCCTTAATATAATAATGTCAACAAAATATGTATAGCATAAATTACCGAAAAATAAATTTTAATGTGGTAAAGTTTCATTTAATTTGTTAAATAATTGTATTCACTTGTTGTAATTTACAAGCTGAATTTGCTGTAAAATGTACAAGATTAGCCTAATTTGGCCAAAATGTAAACTATTTGGTTTTACAAAAATGTAATTTTTAAAATAATTTACTTACAACACTTGTTGGTGTAAACATGACGGTAGTAGTCTACGGCTTAGATGGTCGGCATCCAATTAGGTGTACTTAACTACGATTACCCATAAAAAAACTAACATTTTTATACGGTAATGCATGCTAATATTATTATGTCCTCCATAAAATATTATATTAATACTATATATTTATTAGCGTTCTCCGGTACACGGCGTATTTAAGAACTAATTAGTTTTTGGCTATGATAATCGAATTTTCATTGCAGCATCACAAATTGTACCTATATCTTGTCATCTAATAATTTGTTAAAATTACTAACCTGAGTATTTTGGTTTATTATTATTAGGTATAATACTTTTATTAATAAACGACTTCTAATGTGTTAATTGTATTCTAGAAATTAATCGTACACTACGCATTATGTATTATGATTCACGGGTACTTAAAATTACTTTGTGGTCATTCCAATAGGTACGGGTAATTATAATTATATGGATATTTGTAATGCCTTTAAGTATGGAAAATATTTTTTAGAAACAATAGACAATTATTTTTATCTTTATATGATTAAAATTCGAAAACTACAGAGAACAAATATTAAAGTAGTGATTAGCATTATTGAATATTAATTGATACTGTGAAAAGCGGCCATTATAAAAGGGATTAAGTTTCTCAGAGAGTTGGGACAATAATAATATGTAGTATCAGAAATTATAATGTTACAAATTGCTAAGATTACAAGTAAAAAAAAAGAACATATAAAAGTTAAAAAAAAGTAACTTATGAAATGAGTTCTTTAAATGAGAATGCCCTTAAGTATAAATACCCTTTTGTTAATTTTATTCTTATTTTTTTAAAACAGGAAATTAAGTGTTCGAATGATTTGTGTTTGGAAAACTATTTTGTTTGTAAGATAATTTTTTACAGTGACCATTGGATTTTGATATTTTGTTATTTCTGAACGATATAATAAAGAGTTTAATAATGGAAATACTCGTCACAAAGTGCACAGATGCGAAAGAGGATATTCTTCTTAATTTGAGTTTTATGTAGCAAATTTAACGAGTTATGTGGCGCCCTCTTGTGCGCCAATTTCATTACTTCCTGTCGTTCTACAAGATGCATTCACATGTACTACAAGTAAAACGCTAACTACAGAATGAATATGATCTGCTTATAATATTATTTTTAGTGTACTATAGATTAGTAAGTTACCGTTGGGTGTGACGATGATTTAGCGTTTTCAATGTTGGTATATTTTTGATTCAGTTGTTTTAGTAGTGTATTATTTCGATGTGAAGTACATTAACATACTTAATGGTGGCCAGTAGTTGTATGTTATTACGACAGTATATTGCCATAATGTCTAGTATCACGAATATACCTAATACATAATTTTTTATAATACTATTATATAGTTATAAATATTATAGCTCAGTATTGTTTTTTTTTTACTGCAAGCCGTTTCTCTATCAAATTGAACATTATACTCAATTTATATTAATACTAGCTGCTGGTGTACCCGACTTCACCCGGGTTAAAATGTACACATCGATGTTAAACTTCAATGATAAATCTCTTATCAGGGATTATAGATTCTATAGACGCCTACTATAAAGAACATACATAACATATACACTTATTTGTAATATCAACCAATAATATCAATCGGTAATATCAATGATATTATATATAATGGTTTGTTTATTATACCGCTAGCGTGTACTACATATTTTATTTGGCTTTAACAATATCGAATTCTAATAATTTGTTTATTATTAATATTGTATTATATATTTTGTATAGCATAGTACATAATAATATGATAATACCTGAAATCGTAGAGTATTGGTGAAATAATAATAAAAATCATTTTTAAAAATTGTTATCTAGTTTTATTTGCTACCTACGATACAAAATTATAATATTAACAAGTAAAAAATATGTCTGCTGATTGCACAAAAAATAAACAGTTTTAACAGTTCATTAAATTTAGTGGACGTTTTAAAATGTATGAAGTTTTTAATCAAACAAATATTTTATATTTCAGTTGAATGAAACGTGAATAAACCGTGTTTTAATACGATACGTTCGCTTTAAAGTGAATTTTATTGTTGATTTCAGCTCATCATAAACTACAAAAAAGTATTATATTATGTTATCATATTTTTTCATACTTTATAATTTGTAATATCTGATACAAAGTTGGACAAATTTCAAACAATATAATAAATGTAGTATATAACTCGACGTAACATATATATATTTTTTATTGGTCAATAACTTTATTTGTAACCGTGTGGATAAAAGACAATTTGTTTATTTATTATTTATAAAAAAAATGGTAACTCGGATAATTTAAACAATTTAAAAATAAATCTTATATTAGAGTTTTTTTAATTTATCTGATATACATAACCGTTAAAATCGTTTTTGATTGATAAATAAAAGTATCAAAAGCTGCTATAACATTAATTATAAATATTTGTATTAAGTTTTTATTAATTGTATTGACTCAGTTAACAAGACCCAGCTTCATATTAACACAAGATTTTCTTTTTTAAAAGTAGGTTTTAAAAATTTATAAATATATTATATAATAATATTATTTAAAACAATTAGACTTTAAAACAAATACAGCATAAGACAATATAAATAAATAAATTATTCACGACCAATAAATAATTTTTTTCTTTGAATAACAGATAAAAAATAATAAATCCAATAAAAAAAAAATGTTATTTATTAATTCAAACTAGATAAAACATTATTCGGATAGGAGTCAGCTCTTATCTGAGGTTTGTGTGCATAAGATATACAAGCTCGTCAAACTCATTAGTTGTTGCATTCACCCTATCACTTTGTACCAGCTACCCCTTCCAGTTTATCAGCTTTATTTACTTCATCAACAGTTCTGTTTCCATTTTCAACAAGCCGAACGAATGAATTATGGTGATGTCAGCTTTATCCTGTTGTACCATTATTAAATACTTTAAAAATACATCAAGAGTAAACACAGTATCCATAATTGGCACGTCCCTGTCAAAATAATAAACAAAGCCCAAAAGATTGCTCAACATACAGGTGGCGTCGTACGATGGCGAAGTCTCGTTGTCGTCCAATATAAAATCTTCTAACTTTCCACCGTACGGGCTTAAACATTCTTTTACTATCTCGGAAATGTCATTTATTTGTTGTTCTAACCGCGACGTGGTTATCATTGTCCAGCTGGGGGATCCCAGTATGATCAATATATCTTGGAAAACCGTTTCTTTTTCCATGTGGAGAATACTAAGGGCCATGATCATTTTATTTGCAAAAAAAAAGTTATAATTGGGACCCGTGTAGGTTCTCCTGAGAACGTTGACTTGTTTCAAGTACAAAAAGTGCTTACTCGCTAACCGCAACAGGATTACTTTCAAAATGGTAGTGAACGCGTCGTTGTAATTTCTGAGGTACATGAACAGATTTTGCGGACCGTCGACGGTCAAACTTTTTTCGTAGTACTCATCCATTTTGTGTGCCATCGATCCCCAGTCGACACTCACGTTGAATTTTGTCATAAAATTACTAACCATCAAGTCATCGAAAGGAGAGAAGAACCATTCGGATTCGGGTTGACACCGGAACCATACGACACCGCTATAAGTATTGTGGAAGTCATTGATGGCCGCCACGTTTTTCCTGATAAGTCGGTTAATCCGTTGGAGAGTAGGTTGATTTTGCACCTCACTGTACTCGGCGTTTAGCTCTGAATTTTCATAACTGGCATTGTACACGGTCCTATAGTCACAATTTTTACTGGTGAATGTCTGCAACATGCTCACGACAGCCGTATGGGTGTCCAGCAACGTATCCAACCAAAAGCCATCGTTTCGTTGAGCCAAAAACAACAGCTGTTTGTAACGTTGCATGTTCGAAGTGTACACGTAAGTCACCCACAACGGGTTGGCCTGGAAATGTTTGTTGCCAAGAAGATAACCGAGCATGGTGCTCGCAATGCCCGCGTACGACTCAATACTGGCAACCGTGGCCTCCGTGTGGATAAGATTCTTCTTCGCCTTATCGATCAAGAACTCGCATAACCGCAAGTGCGTCAAGGCGTTGAACGAGAAACTGCACATGAGTTGTTCGGTAGCTTCGTCTATGACATCAGATATATCTTGTGTGGACATTGCTTGTAACGCGCTATAGTTTAGGTATTCTGCAAAACCGGGGTTGTCTATCGATTTTAACGTCACTATACCAAACTTATTCAAGCCGGGTTGTTCGTATCCTGTATCCGCCAATAGTAAATGACGTGCTCTGCCTAGCATAAATCGATGATTTCTCTCTTTGCCTATGACCACGCGCAATGCAAACAACACCGTGAAAATGACAATTGCGTCACTGAGACGTTTCAATACGGCATGTATCATAATATTGAATTTATGTATGACGTATATTGCGGTACTTTGTAAAATACTAAGACAAACCGAAATACGCGCAGTGGAGATAATTTAATTATATTTTATTTCGAGTGACGATCCTCCAAACCACGAATCAAGTATGTTTCGTTATGTAAGACCGAAAGACTATAGGTGCAAATTTTACATTGTGTTTTTATGTTTTTAATAAAAACTTATGTGCGCTGTTTGTTTTACAGCTGTTGTATTCAATTGTATGAGCTCATGAATTACGTATGATTTGCTAGCGCACACAAATAACGTCTGTACAATGTTTTTGTGAAGTTTTTCAGTTATTAAAAATCAAAATTATAATAATTATTTTAAAATATAATACTACAATCAAGTGGCGTTAAAAAATGGTTAATGGGGTTTATATTTTATACCAATATGAATAATTATTGTGATATTATTTTTTTGTTAATAATGTAATATAATTTAGTCATAGATATAATTATCTCTTTACAAAAATGCATATTCTACAAGTTATTAGCTTAATACCAACACTATATTTTTAAATGTTATTCTAATTAAATTATATATTATATGAGTAGGTAAATATATAAATATGTGCTATACAGTAATTTTGTAATAAAAAAAAAAAATAATTTACACTGATTCAAAAATTGTTTAAAATATTAAAAAGTAATATTATGTTCAAATTTTAATTAATAAAAATGCAGTGTCAATCAGTGG